CAGTCAAAACGTGGATTACTGTCATACCGTACATTTATTTTTTCTTGGCTAATTTAATTATCTGCGGTTTTTGAAAAAACATACAATTTATTAGCCAGTAGTTCTTGAGAGAATCGCCTATCCAATGCATACAACTGGGGTTAAGAGTCAAAAATGGTAATTTTTATTTGCGTTTATCAAATTTGAGTTCAAGCGACTAAATCTCACTCTGGACATCCAAGCACGGCAATTCACAAGTTCTAAGTAATTTCAGTTTTCAACAGTTACAAATAAAAATTACGATCAATTCCTTAAATTGTGTTTGTCATTCTGCTTAGCGAAATCCTCGATCTACCAAAACTTTATTACGATATCGTCACTTCTAGCAATCACTGAAATTTGCAAAACACGTCAAAACTCATTCAAAATTTTTTGACAAGCACAAAGTGATTAATTTACTACTACTATAATTATAAAAATAAAACCATGGTCATACCAACACAGAACCTAGTGGTTCTATAGAATGGAACATACTTTCTCGTAGTAAATTTTTTTTATTTCCATGATGTTGAGCTAGCTTTAACGGTATTGCCCCACCCTTTTGCCTGCCGCCATCTATCACCTCCCAAAACACATTTTTTGAAGTTTTCTACATTTTTGGTTTTCTAATTGTTGATTCGAAATACTACTTTTAAAATATTAAATAAGAGTAAAACTTCGGCATATATAGAAATTTTCGTTTAAAAAAAAAATTGGAACTGTTTTTAAGAAAATGGCATTTAAAATTTAGTGTGAATGCGAAATTGGAAGCTCTTTTCACAGGAATATTTTATTTTCGAAAAACTTCATTTTAATTCCAAAATATCGCAGTCGCAGCATCACATAACTTTCTCTATACTACGTATATTATTCCGTGTATACGTACATACACGAGAAATAAACTGGTAGTGCTACATAGGAACATATTTTTCTCATTGTGTGTCATGGCTACGCAATATTATAATATTGTTTTAATCTGAAAAGGTGTTTGCAAACAGCAAAATAGTTATTATTTTTACTGATACGTTATTGCTAGTTACTGGCTTCGATGCTATTGAGTTCGATATACACTGCTTAACTTACCTTGATGAAGAAGACTGTGGGGTTTGGAAGGAAATATGAAAACAATTGAATGATAGTACATGTTCTCTAATGAAGAGAATTATGAAAGTGAATTTTGGGAGGAAATACAAAAAGACAAACGAAGTCAAGTAAAGATTAAGTTAATTAGGAATAAGTAAATCTGTATTATTAAGCGACGATAAAAAAATATTTTGTGTGAACCACAGTCAACTGGTTCTAAAGATCGAGGTGACAAAACGTCCGCGGGCCTTTGGGCTAGGGGCTGTTTTTCGCCGCGCAATCTCTAAGACACTTATAACGCCCTTGGAGCATCAATAACTATTTCCACTCTGGGATTCCAACTCCAGTTCGTAGGTTTAGTGTGACTTGGGGTCGACGCGGAGTCAGTCTATGTTCGCATTGAACGGTAAGCTTAGACGCAGCCTCCCTCCGGAGAAGTGACGACGGCGGTGGAGGCCACTCTGAGGTGGGGGCGGTGACGCCGGCAGCGCCCAGCGTTTCAATAGGCTCAAATTAAATTGTTTCGCTCCGCGCGCGCAAGCGGAGCCGGCGGCGGTGGCGGCGGCGGCGGTGCGCGTATTTAAAATTCAGATGAGCCGCGGGGGCTCGTGCAGGCGCGCGTGCGTGCTTGCGTGCGTGCGTGCGTGTGCGGCGAAGGCAAGCAAAGAGAGCAACCCCGACCGTCATGAAGAGGAGGGGGGCCGTGGAAGAGTGAGACAGAAATCTTGTTGATAAGGGAATGGGTATGAAAAAGTAGATTTGATTTAACCGTTAGGTTCCAGACTAGACGCCTGCGGATTTCAGTGGCTTCTGATTCCGTTCAGAAATGTAGAGGAAAGAAATTAACAATGGATACATTTCACAATCAACTAGTAGGGCTGCAAGGTATCGCTCTCACTCTCGTAGGTTTTAAATCATTCACTAAAACATAATTATTTGCCACTTTTTATTCTAAATTTATTAAGCCATCCTTCAACAAATATCATGGAACACAGCACAATATGTCTGCTGTATAATACTGTAAGATACATTCAATAAAAGAACGCCACTGCTTTCTGGAAGCAGAGGAGGGTTTGGTAAAGGTCATATGGGGTGGTACTAGATATGGCAGTGATGTTGTGGGTTTAGTAGAGCGAAATGAGGGTGTGTGTTTTGGCAGCTATTGCCCGGTAGTGGGGCGGTAGTAATTTTTGTATAACACACCTTCCTCAAAACGGCTTCTCGAACTTGTTCTCAGTATGCAAAACAGTTACTTTTTTCATTATATTACAAAGCGTGCGCGAAATACCTAAAAATCCTAAGAAGTGATTGCCATGGCTGCAATGTATTCGACGACAAGAGAAAACGTGTAACATCCGTATTGTCACATTCTTGAACATATGTCAATGGAATCCAGATGAAAACAGCGACAACTTAAGTCTGTTGTATTTTAGGATAATTGAGGTAAGATAATGACAAGACTTCTAAGAAACACTAAGTTTAAACAAACAAAAAAGAATGGTAAGCTCAACCAAACAACATGACAAAGAGAGCAACCGAGAATAGGTTATGCCATGTACGATACTCTAGTCACAATTAATTTTAATGTAAACTTTTGTGTGCATATTATCAAGACGGTTACCATAGATTTGTGTTTATAATGGGTTTATAAGAGCTTTTAATTCAAAAACACTTTCGGGATATATTTCATTTTCAAAATGCTAATTTTGTTTCAGAATAGTTATCGGGCCATACATCTATATCTGGGGACTGTACAATATTATTTAATTAGTGATACTCCAACAGAACATGCTTCCTTGCATTATTTGAAACACATTGTACAGGCAAACAATGATAATTTCACATACAAATTGAACATCCAGAACTAAAGGCCAACCATTATATCGCTTCATGATTGAGCAAAACTACGATATTATTATGTAATGTCCAGCTTGCGCATATCTGCCTGTATATTTTTCCCGAGTTTAATGAAGATGAATGTACCATTTTATTGAACGTACAGGGTAGATATTGTATGATTAACGTTAAGTAAATAAAGCCGCCTTATTTTATATCTCTCCCATCCATGTCGCTCTCCAACAATGAAATTCTCGGAATAACCTTTCAAATATCCCTCGCTGAATTATATGGTTATGCCACGTACGGTGGTTAATATCAAATTATCGTAATAAAAGTTTGTACAAAATTATGATACTATTATATTTCCTAATATTGTTTTCATAATTCCTTTAAATTTTATTTTTGAGAGAGAAAACATAATTGAGCTACTTTCAATTAAGGATTGAGAATTATTTAAAAGAAAATACATTAATACATCGAGAATAAAAATTGTAGAATAAAGTTAAAAATGAAATAAATATTCAATTTTCAATAGTAAATTATACCTAAAATAACATTAATTATTTTCATATCCTTTTGATCCACTTTTTTGATTCTCCGAGAGTTTTTCTGGTAGTTGATCGTTGGTAGAATACTTCTTTATATTCTATTTCAATAATTTCAAGCAGAAATCGTGTGCAAACTACCAGTTTTTTCTCAAAAAATGTACTCGATTCTAGGAAAACTATATAAGAGGAAAGGAGCGTTTTACTAACAGAGACTTAACAGAGACTTAAGAGTAAATTGAAGAAAAAAAACAGAATGGATGAATATGTAAATTTTAAAAGTATTTTTGATTTACTACTCTTGTCCACACGAAAAAATCTCAATTATTTAACTGTTTCACTTAAAAAAGCCAATCGATGGGCACATTTGGACGTGGAGATAAAAATATTCAAGCATCATTATCGAGAAGTAAAACATTCCGCACCTCCTCTGTTCACCCCATGGTCTCAGACTGGTTCATTAAGAAAATCATTGAATAATTTTAACCATTCGTTGGCCAAGCACTTTATTGTTTTCTGTTGATGATCATACTATTAACATCACAACCTATCATCTGTATCAAACATGATCCAAACATTTATATTCGAGATTGAAAACACTTAGTAAAGGGAACGAATCTTTTCTTCGCTTCTCTTTTATATTCTTCAGCATTCTAGAGTAGACCTTCAGTTTCACCCCTAGTTTAAAAGGGAAAGCGAGAGGCATGGACAAAAAGAGGACCAGTGGTAAGGAGCACAATGTGAGGGCACTCTATGGAACATTTATAGATGACCATACCTGAGCGTTCACGTGTGTATTGACGGACGCATGTGTACAGGTACAACGTGAATGTAGACGGGGATGATGTGTGTATGTATACATGGGCAGGTGAATCGGATATGTGATGCAGGCTTGTTGGCGGGAAATAGATGGGCGATTGGATGAAGATGGATACGCGGACGTTCAGATGACGGCGGATGTGTGGGCAGTGACTAGTTCGAGAGCGAAGGACGATAAGAAGTAAACGCATTTTGTTAGTTAGTTCATACCTTACTTTGCGTGCCAAGACTTGGGTTCGCTTTTCCGTTTCACCGCGCAAATTTCCCTACGCTACGTTCCCCATCAAGCGGATAAACAAGGTATTCCTCAGGCGATGAACAGCTCAGACTTCTTTTAGACTTGTGAATATTTTACATGCAGTAAATCTACAACATGGGACAACCGGTTTTACTTCCCCTCCGAAGAAAGGCATAAGGATTTTTTCACCCTAAAATCCTTGGCTTCGATCATATTTGAACACGCAAGTTTGGGTACAACAGCTCGATACGATAACAATTACACCACCGAACCCGAATGGGAGGTGGGAAGGTGGGAGAGTGGGTCGGAGTAAAGATGGAAAGAGCTTGCGGGGAAAGTAGGGGTGGCGCGAACGTAGGGGTGTCGGAAACCCCCGACCTCGTACAGCCGCAACTACGAACAGAAACGAGTGGGAGCGGCGGGTGCGAGTCAGAGGGTGGCGCGAACGGCGGTGCGTGTCAGAGGGCACGCAAATGGCGAGTGTCAGGCGGAGAGAAATGGTAAGAGGCGGGAGACTGGTTGATGTAGGTGGGGGCAGTAATCGGCAGGAGGCTTGTGACGGGCGTGGGTCTGACATGGAGAGCTGAGGCTGGTCCAGGGAGACCGGCAGCGGGCGGCGAGGAAGGGAAGTGCCGGTGGGTGGCGGGCTGCTGGCGGAAGGCTAGGGACGGACCGGGCAGCCGGCGCTGAAGGGCGGCCCGGCGGCGTGGTGTGTGGGCGGCGGGCGGGGGATGGCGGCGGGTATAGGCCGCGGGAGCGGGTGTAGGCGGTGGCGGCGGTGTGTGGTGGCGGGCGACGGGTGTAGGCGGCGGGTATGGGCGCGGGTGTTGACGGCGTGCAGAGGGTGTAGGCGGCCCGGTGCAGGTGAGGGCGGCGGCAGTTGACTGCGAGGTGGGTGTGGGCGGTGGGCAGCGGTGTGGGCGGCGGCGCTGAGTGTGGAACGCGCGGCAGAGGGTGTAGGCGGCGGGCGGCGGGTGGAGGCGTGGAGGCGGTGTAAGGCGCAGACGGCGGGCGGCGGGCGTAGCGGCGGGTGTAGACTGCGGGCAGTGGTTGTAGACGGCGGCAGCGGGTGTAGGGCCGACGGCAGTGTGGCGTCGGGCAGTGGACTGCGGGTGTGGGCGCGGGCGATGGATGTAGACTGCAGCAGCGGGTGTAGGGGCGGGCGCCGAGCATTGGAAGAGCCGTCGACTGGCGGGAGGGCCAGGGGCAGTGGGGCGAGCGAGAGGGTAGGAGGACAGCGGCGCGTGTCCCGCGGTTTCGCGGCGCAATAAAAACGGGCCGCGGGCTTTTTGGGCGGTGGCCGCCGCCGCCGCCGCTCGGGGCCATTCGCCCGCCGCAGCGCTGCGGTCTGCGGCCGCCCCATCCGCCCCCGGGCGGCCCCTCCTGGGCGCTCACTTCATTGCAGTCGCTGCCGCCCCGCGCCCTGAGGTCAGCCGCGCACTGCTCGCCTGTCACATGACTCCCACGCGGGCTGTCTTCGCCTTTGATGCTCTTTGATGATGTACAAGTGTTTACCAATGTTCGGAATTTCCATTCAATTTATTTAATGCATGGACTGGCTTTTCACATTAAATCAAAAAATAAGTGTAGTCGTGTTGATGTCGAACGATAGGTTTCATTGAATATCTCTAAATTAAAAAAAAAACCAAATATTAAATTATTTCATGTTGCAATATTATCACAGGCTATTCTGACATAAGCAGATTTCATTGAATCTCAATTACATTCTTTTTTGGAATTTGTTTTTGATCGCTGTGCAACTGCTTTGTCATAAGTGATAAAATTATCTTTTACAATTTTACAAATACAAAATGTTACATATTTGATTACATTTTATATCAGTGTCATTTAAATATTTACAACATTCAACAATAAATACATTTAATACTACAAGCATTGTGAATTTTTTAACAATAAAAGAATTAGTACATGCATTTTCTAGTTTTCTGAGACATTGACATTTAATAATTTTGTCACACTGCAAGGTAGAATTTAATTAAGACTGGATCTCAGTATCAAATTTTAATATTTTTACAAGGTCACCTGTGAAAGGCTATTTAACTAATAAATAGAGTGTCTAAATAATTTTTCCACAATTTGACATGGATCTAGATTTACGTTTTTAAATAAGTAACTGTTACTTAAATTAAACGGCCAATTCGTAGTATGATAAAATTACTTGATTTTCTTAAGTTGAGAAGGAGAAGAGGAGAATCTAGAATTAGATTGCTAACTAAATGGAATTTTGAATATTTTGTTTTCCATTTTAAATCCTATAGTCGTAGTACTGATAATTGAAAAAGTTTTTTAAAGTATTCAAAGGAACCAGAGATAGAGTTATTGGGTACAGGAAGATCAGCAGCTTTGTTTGCTGAGTTGTCAGCATCTTCATTTACATTTATTCTTAGATGAGAAGCGATGCATGGAAGAGTGACATTACTTTTATTTTGGGACATGGATACTAGAAAATGTGAAACTGTGAAAAAAATATTATTAATGAATGTGTCGTGGAGTGAGGAAAAATACGAGAAAATAGCAGATAATCGTAAATCTGAATGAGGAATATTTGTAAAATCTAGTGTAACTTAAATGGTGAAGAAAAACCAAGGAGGAATGGTTTTTAATATTTTCTGATAAAGTAATGTAGGATGAATAGAGAATTAAGAAATATATTTTGAATTCTTTTACACAGGAAAGGAAGAGAAGGACATTTATTACTTTGCAGATCAAAGAATTCAAAGATATATTTGTTGCCATTACTAATATTATTATCATTACCATTATTATGACCATTATTATTATCATAATTATTATCATTATTATCATTATTATTATTATTATATTATTATTTTTTACCTCAGAATATCAAATGCATATGTACGCCTCCTACATCATCTTCTGTAAATATAAAACGGTAATATTGCGATATGTTGCGCAATTTAATGTTTGTAGTTTTAGCAGCTATCATCCTCTTCCCCATCCATTGTCTCTCTCTTGCGCTCGATTCTTCGCCTGAAAGTGGTCTAATGGAATATACGTTTTTAGGGGGAAAAGAAGAGAACGAGAGGAGGAGAATAGCGGCGAAAACCCACGAGCGACGTGAAGAGCAAGACGTAATTCTGCCGCGTGCGCATTAAAACAGTAGTCCCTCATCGGAATGCATTTCTCTTTCCGTTTTTACATTTTTTCTTTGCAGCATACCACTTATCTAATATTAAGTTATACAATGCAGCTGATCAAAAACTGCTAAACATCATTTCTACATATTCTCTGTACGGAAAACGTTTCCTACATTCTTATACCTTAATCCCACAAATATGCTACCTTCACGACGTATATACTTTGCGCTAGAAATGATAAGATGTGGTCTTGACATAATGTCATAAACTATTTTTAATCTGAGTAATTGTTAAGGAATAACGTTCACAGAAAGAAAATATTCACTATGCCGCTCATTCAAACTAGTTTCTTTAAACATTTCCTTCCAACAATTTATTTTGATGTTTTGCTTTAATTTTTCAGAAACCTACACAACTCTTTGTTTAATTAGCGGTATAATATCACGTACAATTTACACATAATGGCAGAAATTACGTTATGTTGTAGCACCACAAGTTCAACTTAGTTTCGCTTGTGATATGTACATCCACCACATTGACACCTCGAGGTGTGCGGAACAGTAGTTACGAGTGTTAACTTCGACTCTTCATTCGTGGATTTACGAATGTGTTCACTCCTTGTAAAACTATTGTTTCTTAATTTAGGAGTCTATCAAGATACATGCAACCGTTATTAGGCATGGATATGATATGTCATCCACAATTTGTACATCAACAAGAGGTGCTTCGGAAAAGAAAAGACTTTCTCGTACTAGCTAGTTTTCTAATTTACATGGTCTGGCATAGATTTCGGTCTCACTCCATCCTCTTATCAGCTGCCATCTATCGCACCAGAAAGTATATTTTTTACAACATTCTTTCAAGTTACCTAATGACAGAACCGAAATATCACGTAAAGAAAAAAAACTTTCTTTTCCCCAAAACACTTTCCAGTTTTCGAAAAACTTCATTGGAAGTCATTTGAAGCACTTACACTCACAAATGCAACAACATATACAAATTGCTGGAAATGTGCTTATTACCGTCGACAAAGATATTTTAATGAAAACGCATTTGCGTAATATTTGAAAAAACAAAAGAATACAGAAAAATGGCTTTCATTACATCTTAAACAATGCATTTAGCATTTTTTGTCCAAAAAGTTCAAGGAAAAAAATGGAATCGTTTAAAAAAAATAGCCTTTGAGTGTTTCTGAAAATGCTGAAATTTGAACAAACTTTATGTCATCATTTAAAGCACATATACTGATTAATGAAATAATATGAACAAATCGCCGTTAAACAACGTGATAAAGATTACATTTTTGTAAAATGTTGAGAAAAATTTTATGTTGTGGCGATTTATTATATCGAATACACAACAATTAGCACTATTCCTTTTGGAAGAAAGGTACAGGTGAACAGACGTTTTACGGTCAATCAATTTTTTGGTATCCAGAACTCACAAAACATGGGGTTTATTTATAAACAGTGCTACTTCATTTTACAAAAGTGCTAGGGAAAGAGGACTTACCAATTCGTTGATTCCAAAGTTTCCCTTACAATCGATTGTGAACTCACCTGGAACAAACAAAACAAAGTGTAGTTAATTCGCTACCATGAAGCAAAATACCCAAATATAGAATTCCTAGATTGCAGAACACTAAAAGTACTATGATATGTTTTTCATATTGAAATGTCGGTTGCAATATAGAATGTGAATATTTTTGTAAGTGATATTTGCTTTACACAAAGGAACTACGAAGAATTTCGAAGATGTGTGCATTCACACGTTTCTTTTGAGTATTCGAATTCGCTTGAGTAGATCTTCGGGGCTTGGATCGCGCCTGAATTGTCCCTCAGCAGCAGCTTCGCATCGCGCCCGCTAGAGCGCCCAGCGATCACGTCCTGAGCCGGGAGCCGGCGCGCCGAGGTGGAGGGCGCCGAGGCGGAGCGGAGCGGAGTGAACAGAGACGACGCGCAGCGCGCCCCGGCGACGGGGGTGAGGTCGCGGGCAGGGGAGGCGAGCAGATTTCCTTTGGTAGAAGTTCAAAGCGCAAGTTGTTGGCGAGCGCACGGTACGGCGCGGTGGCGCTTGGCGCTGCGTCGGTGTCATTTTCCCACTCGGCGGCAACCGCCACCCAACTCTCCAGCCGCAAGCCTTCCCAGCGCCACTTCCGGTACCCAGCTCCGCTCCTGTTCCCTGCCCCAAATCACATACCCCGCCCAGCTCATAAACGCCACTTCCAGCTCGCCTCTCTTTCCGTCCGGATCTCCTCGTTTGGATCTCCAACCTCTGCCTGCTCTCTTCCCTGACCTTTGCCTGGCCACAACGTAGATCGTCCGCCGTCCTTCCTTGATTCTTCTCTGCCTCTTTCTCCTCTTTCTCCTCTTTCTCCTCTTTCTCCTCTTTCTCCTCTTTCTCTCTGTCTCCCCACTCTGCTTGCTTCCCCCTCACATCACTTTTCACCCATCCGCTGACCCCTTCCCATCTTACCCTAGGTTTGGCTCACACCCTACTCCCCTTACATCCACTGTCTTCTTGCTATCCTCATCACCAACGCATTGGCAACTTTGAAACCCACAGAGTAGGGCAATGTCGACATCACTCTGAAGCAGTACGGCTGGGTTAAGGGTAGCGAGGTATGCAATGTATTGATGGACGATTGATTATTTCGCCTTTCCAGGCGCGTCAACTTCTATAGTAATTAAGGAAATCTGCTCGCCTCCCCTCTTAATGTTCCGTAAGAGTAGTACTGTATTTATTTCGGAAGGTAGCGTATGGAGAGATCTGACGCAGACCTACACTTCGGTTTCCGGCCTTTTCCCTTTCCAAGTATCTACCAATAGTGGGGCACCTACCCGGCTCTGCACACTCGCAAATCATTAATAAATAATATGCTCTTAAATGAAGTGTGATAAATACATTTCTTGGGATACGTACCACAAGTAAATGAACTTCTTTGAAAAATCGATACCCAATGTCATTTCCCAATAAAAAGAAGGCATTGTGACGAAAACATGCGTTCAAATATAGCGAGTCGATTTAAATCAAGCTAACATCACTTCATGCGTTCCTCTCAACTCCCACGCCGAGCATCAAACAGAAGGTGGTATGCAAGAGGTGCTCATCGCACATTTTCGTGAAAACGTTCTCTCTCTCTCTCCCCACGGTCTAGCACCTTTCACGTCACAGCGCCTGTGAAGCCTGAACTACGTTGCAACCTGCTCTTCGGCTGCGACGGTGCCTTCCCCCGTTCCCCGCCCCCTTCCTCCTCCCGCCGCCCCGCGCTCGCAACGCGGCCTGTCATAACTCCGGTGGCTTCCGGCTCGGCACAGGGCCAGGCGCGGGGCTCCAGCGCCGCGCCACGCCGGCAACTCCCGCCCCCTGGCTCCCACGACGCCTCCAACGACGCCTCCGACAACGACAAACTTTCCTGAATTTCGTTACGACCTCTACTTCTCTTTTCTCGGTATTGTGTTGTCGCCGTCGCTCAAGAAGCCGATGGAAGCAAGGAATAAGCGTATCGATTTATCGTTCATGCGACGGCGCGCATTCTTTGAGCGTTGTCACTGCGCTGTGGTTTGTTACCGGAGAAACAGATGATGAGCGGTGGGGTGGGGAATTGCAATAGCTTCTGCTTGAAGGAACTACGCAGATACTGTAAAGGAAATGTCAGAAAACAAACGCTGCGTTGGGAATGTAAATTATTTAAGGTGACGACGGTGCCTTCCTCCGAAGGTCAGGTGCGGATCTCTGTCAAAGGAGTGCTAGCAGCTGATAATGTTCCTAATTATATAAAATAAAAAGATAAACTGAAGAATATTAGAATAAATCGGTACCAAACTATTGTTTAAAGAAAAACAAAAATGTTATAATTTTTTTGTGCTTAATTGTCTCTCCGATGAAAGTCATGAATTTATCTTGAAGACGATAAAAGAAAGGTAAACTCTATAAAACATGTATACATAGGCTACTACAACATAGTAGATTTGTGCATGAAGATTTCATTTTACACGTCGTTCTTAACAGCGTTCTAAAACGGGTGCATAATAGAAACGTTAAATGTACAATGTGAAGCAGAAAAAAAATTGGAGCATTCATTTATCATTGAAAGTTTTAAATGCTGCATCAACTAATAATGGACAATGTCACAAAAATACCATTTAAAATTGCAAAAGCATCCTTACACAAAATATACGTGCATACTCACGTATTTAATACATTCTCTTAACGAAAGCGATTATCAGGTCTACTTGAAATCCATGAAGTTACTATGTCACACTCAAATGAAAAGACAAAGGAAGCAATAAATTAAAACTTGCATTATTCTCCAGCAATTAAAATCTACATTTTCTGTTCGACTCTTTCAAGGAGGGACGATTTCTTCGGCTTAATGTACGAGTAATAGCTACGCAAGCTCAGTATTTTCACTGCATAGTAACCACCTAATCTGACCTTGCTTTCGACCAGAGGTGGAAAAAATGCGCGCCTGAAAAAGTCTATTTCCACTTCTGGAAGCTCACAAACTGAAAGAACGATTAATGACTTTCGCGGTAGTATGCTTTTTGACACACAAATTCTAGTTTCCATGTACTTTGTTGTAATTTTTTATACCTTGCACCATATATCTTACGAAATTTTTAAACAAGTAAACATGATATATGTTTATACATTCCGCGTATTAAGCCCTCTCAGGAGAGGTGAAAACCTTGAATACATTATCTCTGATTTTAAAGTTCCATATTTTAATCTCATAAAATCTCATCCATATGTCTGCACGCATGTATGACACTGTTTCCATTGAAATTCTGTAGGCAACTTTCATTATACATTACATTGTAGGCAACTTTCTAAATACTACACAAACTACATTATCATATTCGTAGTCTGGGGTCAGTCAGTGGCACAACAGTGAGAAAATACGCATACACATTTATGCCTGCTTTCACTTTCTTACACCCGAACGTATAACGTATTTTACCTTCGATTGTTGTTGAATAATTCTCCAGAAAAGAAAGGAAGCCAGATCTTTGTATAGGTTAATTTAAGCTAAAAAAAACAGGGTTCCTGAAACAAAAATTTGGGGGCGGGAAGAGCAAATTCTTACTTCTAAACCTCGCTTCTCGCTCCATGCAGCTCTTGTTATTGTTGGTGTTTTATTCCCAGACTTAGATAAGCCTGGCGTAAGTAGGCCGAGATAAGCGAGAGCCGTCTCCAGGAACACTCGCCCACTTGCGACCTGCCGGGAACCACCGAGGGCCTCTCGACGCCCTTGGGCGCCGCGGGGCGAGAGGGAAGGGAAGATGCTTCAGCATCAGCTGTTCAACGCCACACTTCAGCTTTCGGGTCAATGACCCCCATCTCGATCAGGTTTTGGTCCAGTTTCCCTGATCCATTGAGCAAATGCTGAGATGGCCCGTTGTTTTGCTTCTGGACGTAAATGTATCTTAACTACGCGCACGTTTTGAGGTAACTGCGAGTTGCTATTTTGTTAGCAATGCAGAAAAATCACATTTGCAATTCGTGTATCGATGCATATAAGTTTTCTATAACTCAGAAACGAAAATGACTATTTTTCAAATATTGCTAATCAGGCGATTTAAAAAAAATATTTTTAAAATTTATTTTTATTTATTTATATTAAACTTTTACTCATCTTTCATTTATTTATAGTTAAAAAGGCGGGAAGGGATTATGGAACTCAAGAAAACCTGCACAGATAATATCCCTCCCTACGTGACATACAGTTTTTACTGTTTTATTTGACTGAATAAATAAAATAAAATCACATGCTCCACAGACAATTTTCACAATACACAGACCAGAAATTTATTCTTGACAATCGCATTTTTTATTATTTGTTATTTGAAAGGGAAAATAAAATTATTGTAAGGGTGCTGTAAGTTGTGTCAATTGCAAATTAGTATCCTAAATATTTTGCTCTGCATAAAATTGGAATTAAATAAAGCTTTTGGTTAAAATTGATGTATATGACAAAATAATTATCAAATTTTAATTATGTTAGCAATGTAGTAGCTTCCAATGCAGTTTGACACTCGCAATAAATTTGTGGTTAATATAACTGGTAAAAGGTTTTTTTAAATTAATTATAATATACCTGATTTTCTCAATGAATTTTCTTAGTTAAATATTTAAAGCATATTTTAAAATTATTTTTAAATAATATTAGAGTGAATAAAGATGAAATAAGAGAGATACTTGTGGAGTCACACACGTTAAGTTTATCAACATGATAAAAAAGAAGTTAAAAAATATAAACTCAATATGGATTTCTGTTTACAATACACACTTAAAATGCAAACCGAACAAATCAAAAAGCTCATAATTTAGGCAAAACTTATTTTTAATTAAATAGGTTTTCTAGAGTCCCAAATTTAATTCTATTGCATAATATTTCAAATTAAAGTTTGAGAAAGTTAATTCTAATGCTTTTTTATCCATTCCGTATCTTCCTAGTGTATGCCAGTTATCCTATTGATCCCAACAAATACCATGCGGGTTCTTTGCTTTCGGAGAAGCAAAGCAATTAGAGAACGTGTGGGAATCTGCAATCCGT